CTTCAGTCACATGTGCTATCAATCACAGGAAAGCCCTCAAGAGGCAATTTTAACAGGACAATGCTCGGCCGCACAAAGCAAGGGTGTCACAGGTATGCTTCCGCCACATTACCATTTTCCCCTGATCTGCCTGATTTCCCCGATTCGTCACCGATCGAACATATATAGGATCCACCTTGGAACGACATGTTAGACAAACTGGGAGTTCTGCGCCGAATAGAAAAGAGCTTGCAGCTACTGTAGAATGAAATGAGGACGTATGGACTGGCGTATTGCATCATGTCTTAACGATAGGAGTGGTCCACAGGCTACATAGAAATTTCATTCATTTATATTTTCTCTTAAGATGATCTTTTCGATTTGAATTTTTAATCGCTATCGCATTAGCATTTGTAATATTTCGCTCGATTCTGATAACTTTTTCTTGGTGCACAATTTTTTATGGCAATAACGGTGTATATTTTGTACCATGAAAATTTGACACACTTAATATCATTGAAACACATTTGGTGTCACTGTCAGTAAAATTTAAACACAATGCCCGCCGCGTATTAAATACCCTGGCTAATAAACTCAGCCGCTTATTACGTTCAAATTTCAAGGAATCAAAACAAATGCTTACTAATCGATAAACAAACCACCGTTTATTAAACTCAGACTGATTTGACAAGACTGATTTTTCATAGCCAGCACTTCTATTGTGCCTGCTATAGCTTTTCGAAGTTTACCTATTTAAAGTATCATGGACCACGACTTTATCATTCATGTAATTCAATAAGAAGGGTGTGACTGAAATTTTTCTATTTCCGATCCCTATGCACGTTATACATTGTTTTCAGAATTCTTTGTCTGCAAATCCCATCAACGTTGCTTAATTTCTTTAACTTAAAAAATAAAAAAAAAAAAATAAAAAAAATAAAAAAAAAAAAAAAAAAAAAAACCTTCTAGAGGAATTGCAAGTGTGTGAGAGTTACTTCTCGAATACCATCCAATAGGAGGTGTAAGTGAAATTTCTGAATCCTATCCTTTAAGGTTTCCACATTCAAATTTTTTTTTCTTTGGGACAGACAGATTATATTCACAAAGAAGAATTATAAAAAATTCCTTTTTCCATTGTAATCAAAAATTTTTCAAACATAAGAGAGTTCATTTTTCAGCGGGAAGGAATAGTTTTTTTAGTTACATTATAGTATAAAGGAGAGTATTTCCTACTGCTATAATATAATTTATAAAGGGAATTTATGTCCATTCATTATCGGCAACAGAATAACAAATTAAATTAAAAACATGTCTACCTATTTTGGATTGTCAAGAATACAGAAGCAAAGGTCATTCTGATGTGAATGAGAATAAAGCTTTCCTCTCTATCCTAGAAAACGGAAAAATGAAAGGAAATGAAATTAATTTTATTCTTAGCTATGCTTTAACATCTTATCGATTACAACGTTTGCTCTGAAAGAAACCAAAGTGAGCCTGTTTTCACAATAATATGCTTTAGGAAAGGCAATAGATATCTTTTAAGTAAATGTGAACATACATATGCTCAGTCAGTCAAAACTTCATTAAGAAGAGTTTACCGAATTTTTGTTTCAGAGCAGTATCACAATAAAGTTCAATCAATGAAACCCATTTATGTTCATTAACTGTAAAATTCTTCCATTTTTTGTATTAATAACGAACGGTCCCTAATTCCTCTTTTAATGATTCAAATCTGAGGAACGTATTCAATTAGGTTTTTTGCTAGAGAGGAAATATATCTATAATTGTTCCAGATAGCACACCTGAGTTATATGCTTAAATAAAGTTCCTTGTTAATTTAAATGAAATAGAAAAAAAATTAATTAAAACACTTTTCTTGAACGTGTTATTATCTCAAAGTGAGGTTTGAATTCCTCTTCATATGTTTCAGAAATTAAAAAGTAATGATTTTCCTTATAAATTTAGTGCATTTAAAGCACAAACCATGTCTTACAAGTGGTCTAACTATGTTTGTTTAATTTGTTTTTTATTTTGAGATTCTTATGATATATCTCGTCGATGAAGAAGGGGCCTGCTCTGAAGATATAATATTTAAACTTTAAGAAGACAGACTCAGTCTGTTTTCATTTTAGTGTTTGGTAACCACTCCGCTTCACAAGGTAAAGAGACTAACTTATATTGACTTCCTGCCGCCCAGACGGTATTGTTGTTAGGGTAGCCCACTGCCATACCGAAGGACCCGAGTCCGAATCCCGAAGAAGGCATAGATGTAACTTATCTGTCCTTTCTCAGGATGTAACAGCGGTCGCCTGTTAGGTATCGCATTATAAAATGACCGCCACTTCTGGTCGTATTACTGGCGAAAGTTCAAAAAGAGCTAGTGCCCGCCACTTAAAAAAATATTCACTTTCTACTTCTTTAAAGCCCCCAAAATATGCTATCATTCAAAAGCAACTCCCTCCTTTCTGCATGTCTTCGTGTTGTAACGGTAGCACACTCGGCGCGTGTTGGAGAGGTCCAGGTGCGAGTCCCGGCGAGGACATTGCACATTTTTTACATCTCTACAGTGGCGCCAGAGTAAAAGTTGGTGGATGATGATTCTTCACCAACAGGATCTGGCAATTGGGTCTCCTAATCCGCATTTATCCTTTAAAAGAAGGGGTGTATTAGGTATTTTTCGTGGTATAACGGTAACACACTTGGCGCGTATTCGAGAGGTCCAGGCTCGAGTCCCGGCGCGGACATCGCATATTTTCATACTTCCTGCTTCAAATAATCTAATGTCTCTACAAGATTAACATAAATTTTAGCTTTAACTTCAATTTCTTAAAAGAATTTAAAACTTAAATTAGTAAATCAAATAAATTAATATATCTTAAAAGTGTTTAAAACTTAAATCAGACACTCGAAACTAAGAATTCCCAGTTACAACTTGTTTGTATTACAATGGTTCGATATTCTGGATCTAAGCTTTATTGCTTACATTCTGGATTTATTAAAGTTTGCTGTAAAGTAAGCAAAAAATAAACTGAAAACTGACATAGATTTTAAATAAAACTCCACTGATTTCGAAGGTTATTTGACGTATGCCCCTGTGGTAAAATTTTTAGCAAAATTATTTTTCTCCTGAATAGGGAATCATGCCTGATTCCGTTGAAACTATATAATTTTATTTAAAACCTACTCACTCTGTAAATCAAAATGATTTTCCAAAATATTCAAGGGAAAATTAGAACATTCATAATTCTAACACCCCTTTTTTAATTTGTTGAAAATGTAAAAATTAATGTGAATTTAAGATTAAGGCCTTGCAAAATACATACAATACAAAAACTATAAAAATCCAATTTTTAAATACATAACAGTTTTATGATGAAAAAAAAACTAATTATTTTGCAATCAACATGATAAGTATAACATATTCAATATTCTTAGTGTTTTCAACTCTATATATCACGTACTTCTAAATTAAAGCATTGCAGTTACAGAATGCTTCCTCCCAAAAATGTGGCAGGTAGTAATTTTCACTACAATATCTGGTTAATTACAGGACCGCTCTTTGACATCTATGAGTTTTGAAACCTAATAAACAGAGTTTTCAAAGGAAGGCAGGAAAATATTGAACATATCCTGATTTTTGTTATTTAAATTAATTTACTCAAGCTGCGATTTATTATTACTACTCTTTTAGCTTCGCTTATATCAATAGCAGTTATAACATGTGTACGTCAATCATTTCTTCCATGTAAATTATAATAATAAAAGAAAATAATTCAACATAAATATTAAGTACGTAATATTTATCTTCTTTAAGAAGTGTATTTATTTATAACTTAGATGATATCGCTAATATTTTCATATTTTCACACTCTCATTATTTTAATATTATTTCCCAGTGACCAAAAACGGAGAATGTAGTATAATTTGAAAAACGGGCTCTATTTTCTAATATTCTAATGCACTAATGCAATTCTATCAGTCCTTACTATCTTAAAAAGCAATTTGGTGAATGGCTAATGTTTGCATTAATAATATCTCCTTATGTTTCTTTATATAATGGGGGGTTATAAATAAAGTTACTGTATTTGTACCTACTAGAGCCCGTTCTTGTACACCTATTCCTTTGAAATTTGGTATATATCTTATATAGACATGAAGAGAAGAAACCTGGAATGAAACTTAATAGTTCAAATTTCGACCGCTAAATTATAAAGAGGAGTACAAACAACAACAAAATGAAATTAACCGCAGCTTTTTTCAGTATGCGTTTTGCATCAAACGCAAATTCAAAGTAAGCTATATACCCACCGCTGTAAAATTGAGCTAGCGTGCTCAAATTTACAGCGGTGGGTCTTTCGATCAGGTGCAGCAACATGACATGCTATGCTTGCTTTCAAATCAGGCAGAGAAGAATTTCGAAATTCGAATTTCCTGTAAAATTAGTGAAAAAAATGAAGACTTAAGCGTATATGATAATTCATTATATATGAGTTCGGGCTTATGTATACCAATTTCAAGACAAGACAAAGCACTGAATAATTTTCATTCCTTTTCTAACTTATTTGTGAAGCCACAGTAGTCCTATAACATCCAAGAAAAGGAAGACGAATGTAATGGATACATTATATAACTTTTCATAGCCATCGTGTTCATTCTTAGATATCTAACATATATTTGTTTCACATATTTGTTATTGCGGTTAGATTTTTAGAAATGTTGTATTTATTTTTTAATTATGAAGCTTTTTATGAACTCTGATGTGTTAATGACGTTCTTGCTTTGATATTCCTAATAAGATGACTAAAGTTTCATACTTTGCTAGAATGTCAAGCTTTGAATAGATAGTTGTGTCTCATACTTCTATATTGCAAATTGGTCCATAAATTAACAATATTAAAATGATTACTTTATGAAATCATTAATATGCAAAATTTAAAAACAGTCAATCTAAAAAATTAAAATACATCATTTTGTAAGAAAAATTTGATTCAAGAAGGATTATGTATATTTTAGATGCTCACCTTGTTTCGCTTGCTGGATCTATTATCTGCCCGTTTTTTCGCCAAGTGAACGTCATAGGCCTATCCCCTTTAGGCACACATTCTATTACAGCCCTTTCTCCACGTCGTGTACTCAGAACCATAAATTTGGATTGAAACTGAGGAGCACCTAAAGGGAAAAAAAATGTTATATTAGCTTCAATAATTTTACACATCATATATATATGAGAATTGTCTGCTCTTAGGATACTTAGATATGCACAGGGACTGTTGCAGTTGCATAAAAGCATGCTTAACCGACAATTATTGTAACTGCAGTCTTGGGAACACAGCCCTCCAAGCATAACTAAAAAACATACTTCTCCATTTTAGATTTTTCACAAGTCAGTTATACACTGAATACCAATAAGTATTTGGACACATATGCAAATGACGATATCTGCGGTCCCAAGGTACGCCACGGACTCCGCAAGTATATATCGTATAGGAAACAGCATCGTCTTTAGTCGCATGCAAGATGCCTCGCAGTTCGGAGCTCTCTTATTTCGAGAAAGGTATAATTATCAGGCATCACAAATATGGCCGATCCTTAAGGGACATATCTAGCGATCTGAAGTACCCAATATCGACAGTGGCTTATGTGATGAAGAAGTGGAAGGTGAAGGGTGATTGTCGGAATGTGCCCCGAGTCGGCAGACTAACGAAACTGGGGGATAAAGATCGACGAGTGCTGTTCAGAGAAATTCGGAAGAACCGCACTCAACCGATAGCCCTCATCCGCGAGGAGTTTCAACAGGCATCCGGGAGTATTGTTTCAATGAATACCATCCGTCAGGAGGCACATCTGCTTGGTTTTCATGGTCGTGCTGCTGCCCATAAGCCTTTGATCACAAAGTCCAACCGCGCTGCTCGGTTAATGTGGTACAAAGCACATCGAAATTGGACCGTAGATCAGTGGAAACGAGTTCTTTGGAGTGAAGAAATAAAGGTACACACTTTACCGTTCGGATGGCAGGGTCTGGGTCTGGCGTCTACCTGGAGAACGTCTCCTGCCAGAATGCATTGTGGCAACAGTCAAATTTGGCGAAGGTGGAATTATGGTCTGCGGGTTTTTCTCCTGGTATGGGCTCTGACCCTTGGTCCCCATTCATGGTAAGCTCAACTCCGATGCCTACTGCATTATTTTGGATGACAATATGCTTCCTGCGTTGTGGCAGTTTTACGGGTTGGACCCCTGTTACTTTCAGAACGGCAATCCCAGTTGTGTTGTCATGTATCGACGCTAACCAAGGCTTGGTATGGTGCCAATGGAGTTCATTGAATGGACTGGCCTGCCCAGAGTCCAGACCTGAACCCTATCGAGAACCTCTGGGACGAGTTGCATCGCCGAATTCAGGGGTGCACTACCCGTGCAAAATCGGTGAAGGAACTTCTGTGTCTTCTCCAAGCCGAGTGGAAGACATTACCACTAGCTATCATCCAAAGACTTGTGGAAAGTATGCCCCGGAGGGTCCACGCTGTAATTACCTCTCGTGGAGGTCCTACCAACTATTGATTTTGAAAAAAGTTAGTTTTTCCCTTCTATCACAGGTGTCCAAATACTTATCAGTGTATATAGCATACTGTAGTAAAATAATTTCTTCATTATTACATTATTACTGTATACTTTTTACCACTTGTTTGTATTTTATGTTTGGCTATTAAATCAATTTAGCGAAGTAATGTTATTAATATTATACTACAGTATTCAAATTGAGTTGGTGTATGAATAACATATCGTACATTTAATTAAATCGCCAGCTGCCTGAAATTTATAAATGATATTTTTATTTTTGTATTACAAAATTACATATAATTCATATGCAGTGTATTCTCGATTAACCTGGGCTAATGCCAAGGAAGCAGGTTGTAAGATCTACTAACTTTCTTTGCTATCATATATACCGCTAGATCTCACTAGGGAACTTCGTAACTTCTTCCACAGACGTAAAAGAATACCAGCACAGAAGTAGGGTGAAATAACTTTTTATCATTTATCAAACTCTTATCACAAATGAACGTCTTTGGTGCTTACAATAACACCGACGACTTGAGGTAGAATTTAAAAATAGTTATACAATAATTTCAAAGATAAACAATAGTGATGGACTAACAAATTAAGGGTGACTAGGCTGACTCAACAACCTACATAGCGATGTACTTATTAAATGGCCAAAAAGGCGTATCAGAAACTCTGCGTTTACGCAGAGGACAAACTATTAACGTGCTCTGGCTAGCGAAATCACGGTCTGAATTAAGCTACAAAATTTGTCAGTTTAAATACTCACTTCACATAACTTTAAATTTGCATCCTGGCGAGGAAAGTGAGAGATTCAGCAAATGATATATAACGTACACATATCAAGATATATAACGCACAGGCCGTCATGGAAGACCCCCATTGTGCATCTTCCTAGCCACGGTAAAATGTGATATCGGTCGTCCAGTCTCCTGTTCCATTTGTCTCCAGCTCCATTTCCATCTTAAAATAAGTTGTTATGTAAAGTAAAGGAAACCCTATAGAGGTAATGGCAAATTCAGGCTATCAGTTTTGTCGAATTGCCTGCATATTTTCGAAGTTATATTTCATCACTGAATTCAAGTATCATTTGCTGGACGAAGTCCAACAGAGTTTCAGTAGAAGTCATTGTTACCTCGGGACTAATGTAATTTCAATATCGTTTTTGCTTGTACACTGGTGTTCAAAAATTAAGGACGGAGTTGAAACATTAGCTTATAAGCGGAATGAAGAGGCATAGTGGACTGAAACACCACTAATCAGGAGATTGAATAGGATCAGATAAGGTAGCACATGCGCATATGTGCCACTAGACGTGATGGGGGAGTGTCGAAGGGGTATAAAGATCGCCGGCGGTGCGAGCTCAGCATTTCTTAGAAGCTATTGCATGGCGTATATCGGTTTTAACTACGTCGAGTTACTGCCTCAATGTGAAATGTCGAACAATCAATCTGCTAGACGACCTCTGAATGATTTTATCCGAGGTCGAATCGTTGGAAAAACTGAGGAAGGGCGAAGTGTGACAAGTGTGGCTCCAGAGTTCAGGAATGCTCACATCATCATTTAACGACTCTGGAAAGCATTTCAAACTACAGGAACAGCTGGCCGACGGTTGAGCAGTGGTCGTCCACAAGCAACCACAGCAGAGAACGACCGGTATATTGCCCTACAGGCAAGAAGGAACAGGCGGGAGACGGCGGGAGAAATTTCAAAACAAATGGAGCAGGCGGGGACTGGACGACGGAGGAAGACGACCCAGGAGGCTGCAAAATAGGGATTTCTTTCAACGACGATTTGTGTTTTATATATCATTAAAGCGTGTTCATTGGAAAAGACGTTTTCTGTGTTGCAGGGAACACCAGAATTGGACACATAATCAATAGGGTCGAGTACTCTTTACGGATGAGAGCACATTTAGTCTGTGTAGCGATTCTAGATGCATGCACATTTGAAGAGAGTGATGAAACACGAAATATCCTCTCCATCATCATCGAAAGGGACCGGTTTGAAGGTCGTGGAATTTTCGTTTGGGGAAGCATCATGCTTGATAGTGGTACGATCTTCACGTCTTTCAAGGAGGTTCAGTCACCGGCGCCCGCTATTGTAACGAGGTTCTCCTTCCTTACGTGTGTCTTTTGAAAGGTGCTGTGGGTCCTCAGTTCCTCTTCATGGACGACAAAGGTCCACCTCATCGCGCAGTTGTTGTCTAAGAGATGCTGGAAGGTAAGGATATTGAACTCATGGATTGGCCGGAAAGGTTTCCGGATCTGAATCCAATCGAGCATGTATAGGACTTTCAAGGGAGACGCGTGACAGCACGTAACTTGTTGCCAATGCGTCAACAACTCATTGACAACCTCACATTCAGCATGGAGAGACGATGTTAAACCTGCACGGTAGTACGGAGCGATCATATCTCCTACTAAAGGCTGGATGCTTCTAGCTGGACACCTGTCACATGGATGTTTCGGTATTCTATCACATTGTGCTCCATGCCTCTTTTTCAATAAAGTTCCTTTTTATCTTCTTGATTTCTTTCTTGGGAAGTTTCGCTTACATTACCAATGCTTTTGCGTCTTGGGAATCTTATGGTATTATTTGTGTTAATTTGGAAAGCTTTCGCACAATGTTATATTTTAAAAAACGGTCTCGGCCTTAATTTTTGCACATTATTGTATTTTCAGTATTTTCCCGCTGTCGTGACATCTGAAACCATATCTGCGTCACTCAAACGATGAAAGCCCGACTCAGTCGAAGAACTATCAAACCATTCTTCGATATGTTCCCGAGCGACATTTTCGGAGAATTTTACATTTTCAGTTTTTTGGTCATACAACTCTAGTGATTGCCTCCGACTTCTTCATTTAGGACAAAACTTTCTTAGTCGGACTTCCACGAGTTAATATTTTACACTTTTCCTCGGATAGCATTGAATGTGCTTGCTTGGACACTGCCACGCACGGATAATATGAAAACCGCATACTCCGCCCCTGGCTGTCTGGTAGCGTGTAATTTGTACCCCATAACAGCTCCCACTTAGTGTAATCTTTAAATAATGCGACAGTATAAATAATAAATACAAATAAAATTAACTCTTAAATTTAAAAATTTATCCTGGATTGCTCATTATACAGCTTGAAAAATTTTACCTATTCGGATAGACAAATGAACTCCGTCCAGTTTAATTTAGCTTTTTAACTGTTTCTTTTATATTAAATTATTGATTAATTCAATAATTAACCACATTTTAGTGCTTGTTTTAATTTGTGAAAACTAGAATTACATTTTTCTTTTTTAAAATTTAATTATTATTTTAATTAAAGAAGAAAAATTCTTTCAGGTTAGCATTTTATCAGACATGAAGTAATTTATCAGTTAATTGGGTATGATTTATCTATTTAATTATATGATTTCCAATTATTTGCATTTTTGCTGGAAAGTCAGGAAAATGGCCCAAGGTTTATTCAGTTCACATTTATCTTCTTCAGAAACAGCTTGGCTGAATCAATATAACATTAATTTTCTATTCTTTTGCTATGTGTACCTTTTAAAGCCTGATTTATCAATTGCCCTTTCATTGTTCAGTATGAAAACGTTTTTTACAGATGAAT